CATCACGACGCGAAACAATGAATTCATGACAACGTCTATTCTTCGTTTTCAAATTACGTCACAGCGGCCATCTTGGAGGAATTTTAACAAAGGATTTCTTATTATTATCTTTTGCACATTCCTCCAACATAGCCGCCGGTCTTTTATCTCTTGAATCTCATGGGAATGGTTGAAAACTGTCACTCGGGATCTACATCTACATCTACATAGTTCCAGCACTTGGCAACGTTCATTGTGGGTTACTAGCTGCATATTAGTATGAGGTCTCATTACCTAGCAACCTTTATACGAACACTATACGCCAAGCCGACCTCAATGATGGTGAGATGAGCCCTGGCCACACCACCGAGAACTCCGTGCCCTACTCTTAGTCGAATAGTGGTGTGGGTTCTTTAACATCCCTCTAATTCCAAGAATTCCACATTAACTTATGCTCTAACGTTTTAGCGCACGGGTTTGCCAAATATTTTAAAAAGTTAACACTTCGGTCTTTTATTTAGCACAATATCTCGATTCTCAGGAATCTAGCTAGCGTCGTCCTAAGATGTGGTTGGCTTATTAAATACACCAAGGAACATTTGCCTAAAACGAATCATCCTTCTGCAACTCAGTTTTCAAGACATGAAGAACATTATATACAAAACGAGATCGAATACCAGGCAATCGCAGGTCACTAGATCAAATACCAGGCAATCGCAGGTCGCTAGATCGAATACCAGGCAATCGCAGGTCCCTAGATCGAATACCAGGCAATCGCAGGTCGCTAGATCAAATACCAGGCAATCGCAGGTCCCTAGATCGAATACCAGGCAATCGCACACAAATCTCACACTTTTACGCTCACAATAGGAATATTTTGCGCACAAATGAGGCTAAAACAGAGCATTGGAGAATTCAAAACTGGAGCATTCCGTGTCTTTTTGTTCCGGTCGGTGACCAAGTCAGGCAGATATCAGGTGATTGTCCCTCTGGTGCACAAGCTAGGCTTAAGGAATATGTTTCGTCCCTGAAGCATGTTTTTGGGAATAGGCGGGTTACTTTACATGGTTTTCGAAGTGGCGCCGCAGCCGAGAACGCAAGTGAGACGGTCTCACTTGCGTTATCTGGTGCTGCATTACATGAGATTATGGATAACATAGGATGAAGGAGTAGTAAAACTGCCCTCAATTATATAAAACTTAGGCAAGTTTTGAATCCAGCTGTGGCAGCAGCAAGACTTGCGGATTTAGACCCGTCAAGTGGTAACGAATATGGAAAGCTCCATGACTTAGCTGATTTTTCTCAGGCTTTCCAGGAGTAATAATGAAGTGTAACAATTAGTCAATCTAATAATAAAATTATGCTGGGGCYGCAATAACCACTAGTCTAAAATTCATTGAGATTCAAGAACAATAGCTGTAGTCAGCATGTTGGATGAGCAAACCCCAGGCCGGCACAGTGATATTTTCAACTGAATTTCTTACTTTCATCCAACATGGGTACGAAAATTCTGAATACTAAAAACTGTCATCAATTATGGTATAGGGTTAGGAGGCTTAGGAGTGTAAGGTTTGGAAAGAGATTGCGACATAATGTATTAAAGGAATAGCAAGCTAGGATATGTGTGGGTCGTTTGATGGTACTTACATGGGTGACCGGGAAGTAGGAAGGGAAGTAGGAACTTGGGGAAGGCCAGAGTGATCCCCATAACGTATTCCAGTAACAATACCCAGGGAGAAAATAATACAGTATTGTAATAACGACATTTTCTCGTGCTCTATTTTGCGGTCTTTGCGCAAGAGTTTTTRCTTCTGTTTGTTTTAGGCAGCTGCTTTATATAATAATCTTCACACGGAATAGACAAGGTATTATTTAAAAACATGAATACCCCAATAGGGAGTCAATTAGTTTTTATGTGTACTAGCAACGTTCAAAACAAACGCTTTCAGGCTCGACCTCATGTAGAGATTSTAGTTGAAACTATGGCAATTCATTCAACTTCATACATCAATTCATATGAAATATATATTTTTCATAGTTCTTGTATATGCATCATGATTTCCTTTTAATTTGATACCAGCATCTTTAAGGTGCGTGCTGACTTTACTAAGAGTAATTTCAACTTCATTCTTACTGAAAGGTACTGAAATTTTCACAATAGCTCGAACTTTTCACTGCTATCAATCATAAAAAAAATTAAAAMAAAAAAATAAAGACATTTAAAATAGATGTCAAATAATCTAATCTAAAGCAATCTTAACATGACATGTAAAATAGACTGTGTTTCTATTGAGTATTTCTTTTCAATTTTGATGTTTGATTATGACTGAAGGAAGAGAAAACGACAAAAATCAGTTTAGTGTTAAAACTGTTGTGGAATTTGCAGTAGATGTACTCCTCGCAAATGACAGTGCACGAATTAACTACAAAATATTCGTTTCAACAGTTGCTTTTACTCCACWATCACGACCAGCTACACATACAAGCATTTGAGACTCTTAAAATTATCAATTAAAAACATATGGTCCATCTGTGATCTTGGCAGCGGAATAAATTTCGTGATCTCACTACAAGACAATTACTTTACGTTACTCAAAGAACTTGGCAAAAAATAACCTGTGTAAATAATTCACAATTATTTTAAGCGTAAGGCATTTAATTTCATGACTTGGAAAATTTGTTTAGCTGAATCCTATAATATTTCGCAAACATTGTTTTCGTTGTCAAACTTGCTTGACATGTGTAGAATTCATTGCAGTTCAATTCAGGAAAACTTTTAGCGATATAAAAGCAMATCGATGCCTTGAAAGCTCGGCAGTTACAACTGAAGCAAAATCGATAAAAACGATGATAAAAAGGGYAAAAAAGTTTCTTACCTTGTGTTAACAAAACTAAGACGAAAAAAGAAATACCTCCGTATAGTTTCATCTTTTCCATTCTAAGGGCCTGTTTACATGGCTCATCATCAGGATATATCAATTAAGAAAATTGTTATATGACTTTTAAAATTCCTGCATTCTGATTGGTTGATGTTGTGTCTGTCAAGCTTATTGGACCGTTGCTGAGGATGATATCAGTGCAACTATTTTGCGTATTTAAGTTGGACCGGTGAAATCAAAGCAGCATTACCTTATCAGACTCGCGACTTTCTTTGCAATWAAAATTCAAACAAAATCAATTGTTTTTAATAAGCGGAAAGAAAGGTTCAATTAAAACTACTCTCACCTTTTTGTTCGCGGCTGTGTCTAGATTTTAACTTTCGCGCTCATTTCCGAATTGACCTCAGTTGTTTTCAGTTCAAATGGTATCAATACAGCTTAGAAATGCTTGTGGTAAGTATTACAGCCGTTACGGATAACACGTAGGGAGTCGAAACGAAAAATAAAAATCCTACTGGATTCATGCATTTTACCGATGTCAATCATAGACATTTCCATGACTACCATTGGATAGCTCGGCCTCGGCTCGYCTATTTTTATCGATATTATTATTACCCGTGCTTTTAGCATCGGTTTCATAGGCTTATTAATTATTATTAATAATTATTAATTATTTAATTACTATTATGTGGGCGTATTCATCGTTATTTATCATTGTCAATAATCTTATAGTCACTATCATAGGCGTATAACGGTTATCATCATTGTGAATGCTGTTGTCATCGCTATCATAGGCGTATTATAACGGTTATCATCATTGTGAATGCTGTTATCATCGCTATCATAGYCGTATTATAACGGTTATCATCATTGTGAATGCTGTTATCATCGCTATCATAGYCGTATTATAACGGTTATCATCATTGTGAATGCTGTTATCATCGCTATCATAGGCGTATTGACGGTTATCATCATTGTGAAGGCTGTTGTCATCGCTATCATATTGTATTCCATTGTTTCTCGTTCTATTGTATTATGTGTTTTGTATTATATCTTTATGAATATATTACATCAACTGAGTGCTACGTAGATTCTCCCAATTGGGAACAAGGTTGTGAGGGAACTGGGAACGATATTGTACTCGGCCGAGATGGCCCTGGGGACGAAGTTGAGATTAACAGTGTCGTGCGTATGAGAATGGCGTCGTGTGGTGGCTTGAAAAGGAAACGAAAGGTATACAATGACGCTTTGTTGTAAACTTCTGCTTTCTTTGCTTTAGTTRTGTCGATTTGTTAGGTCTTGCAAGAGTCCTCTTACTAAAATTCCACAGAATTCGTGTTTTGAATGAAAGTTTTAAAGAGGTTACATGTACTACATGTAACTTATGTACGAGTCAATTCCAAAGGTGGCCATCCCCCCCCCCCCGTGCATTTGACTCGACTTAACCTCCGTACAGTGGGGTATTTGACTCTGATTTAGGAGCAGACGGGCGCGCGGGCATTTGACGAGTTGGCCGCCATCTTGGAAATTAACCAGAAAGCATTGGAGTCTATTTCCACAGGAAGCCCATATCAATAATATACACCACTGTACGTATATAGCGTCAATATCCTTACAATTCACATTTTCAGTTTTTTACAGACTGCTATGTAAGGTACAATTTGCAGCTATGTATAAGAAGAATGTGTTGTTTGAATAAAAAAGCATTGTTTGGAAACATTCTTCATCTTTCTTACTTTCACAATGAAAAATTTCGATAGAAATAAATCAACAACAACAAAACTGGTAAACCAACGTAAAAAAAACTCACCTATGGGGCGGGCATTTGACCACTCATTTGCTTTTACTAGTGGGGCATTTGACTGTTCAATTTGCCATTTGACCAATTTTTTTTAAAAAGTCAAATGGCCGGGGGTTTGGGATTGACTCATACATTACTAACTTTAGCCTTAAGCTTCAGTTAAACTGATCAAAGTACCTTTCCTCAGTTAATGATTGAGGTCGTTTTTCCTACTATTTTGTTTTKAAATGTGCCTTATCGTGAATTCCAGGAATTCGCTAAATCAAGTATCGTAAAATCCGAAGTGTGTACATCGTTTATAAAGATAGATAGATAGATAAACCTTTATTAACTTATACCTCTCAGGGTAGCCCCATCAGATGCAAAAAGCAATCTGTTATCAATGGGAGCCCTGAGCATAYCAATATAAACTACAATATAATATATATGTGTATAGTACATTATAATTAACACTAGAAAATATGATGATAGATAGATAGATAGAAAATATAAATTAAGTGGGCTTTTAGTAAAAAGTGATCATTGATCTTATTTTATTTCAGTTATGGGGAGAATCGAAAGAGGATCTGATTCCCGTYAAAATATTCTGCAGAGAATCTTCCCATGTAGKCTTTTCTGAGACTAATCTCAAGCAGGTTACATACAAATCATGCAGTTCCAAGTGCTTAAAAAAACGCGAAGTATTCTTTTATCCTATGCGTAAAGATGTGTCTACTGACATAGAGGCTCTACAGTCACTAAAAACTGAATTAAGGCATTTGGAGAAAATGGAGTTCACGCGCAAAAGAGGGGAAATATATTGGTCTGTTGATGAAGAAGAAGGTAAACTTCACAATTTCAGTGCAATTGCGATAGAATCATATCAATGTTTATGTAATTTATATATAGTTTTAAAGCCRATAAAGGTTGGTCTTAACTATTTCATATTGTTTAAATACCAAATTCTAACAAGCTAAAAACAAACTTTGCTAAAATATTTAAGCTGAAGTACTATTTTAAAGAGAAAATCAAAGTTAAAGTTGTACGCAAATCTAGCRTGCATGGTGGCTCTAGGGGAGGGGGTAATCGGAAAGGGAGGGGYCGGGATGGGGGAGCGGAGCGGAGCAGYAAAAGGGAGAGCCTGCTCTAAAGAGCTGCTAAATCYTGTACTTGRGGCRTCTAGAGGACACGCTTCCTGATTGATTTAAATCAGCGCTGTGATTGACATTTTCAATTCGCTGTCAAAATAACGATACCCAGGCTATTTCGAGAACTCTGAAAACCAAAACAACACGGAAAGATGGTTTACAAAGTCGAATTTATTGATCGATAGATTGAAAAGTCAGTGAGGGAAAACTGTTATCTTGATCGTCCAACAAGTCGTGTGTATCTCTGTTGGATAGGCTATATAGKTTTGGATTTGGATTTTTTGTCATTTTGTAAAGAGTAGCATATTAAGTAGCTACATGTTTTTAAAATAGCATCCGTGAATGTGTATTCTATGTACAGCTGAAGCTTCTTTATAGAAAGATGAAGGTCAAATAATGTACATACACGAAGATCATGTGTTTCTTTGTTGAATTTGCAGGACAGTAGTATATTTGCTTTTCTGAAAGGCGCTTTGATTTACCTGTACCTGTACATGTACCTGACAGATTTTACAAATCTTATACAAAGTTATTTGGTTTTCCGGTAGCAGATTTTGTGTGAGTAGCAAACATTAACAGCATATCACACTCGTACTTAAGCTMGTAATAATTTGTTCAAAACGAAGTTGACAAACACAACATGAAATTGACAAGTAACGAACCATTTCCGGTTCAATGACCTCTAGTAGGCGGTACACGATTTAGCAGCTCTTTAAAGCAGGCTCTCCTTTTTTTCRGCTCTGCCTCCCCAACCCCTCTCCTTCTGTTTTCCCCCTCCCCCCCTCCCCTAGAGCCGCCACGTAGGCTAACGCAATTCAGGACAAATCCTTGCTCACATAAAGATACAGGCATTTTGTCAACTGTATGAATTGTAAATGAATTTGATAAACAATTATTATCATGTGAAAGATTTGACCCTAGTTAGTAGAGCTAACTACAGTAAAAACTGGTGTATAAGAACCTAGGTTTTTTCAAGTTAGCCTAAACAGGTTCTTATACATGTATAAATGGTATTTAGTGTAAAATTAGGCTACCTAGGTTCTTAATTAGGTTCTTAACTTTTATGTCTGATAACAGTATTCTAATGGAGGCTTCGGTAAGCAAAATACTACACTAGTGTTAAAATCAAATGCTGTAACTACTATAATCAGTGTGTTACAGACTGTTTTATAATATATTTTGAGAATATTTTTTTTCTTTTTGAGATTTTTTCCTTTTTTTCAAAATAAGAACCTGTTTTAGAATTTTAACTTAAAATGGTTCTTATGTAGGATGCTTAAAAATGAAACGCTAGGTTCTTATGCGCGGGTTTTTACTCTATGCTATTTACTAACCATGCTCTGACTGACAGCCATGTCTAAAACACAACTAAACGCTCTAAGAGSGTGGAGTCGGGCGACAGCTAATTCTGGAGGTATTTCATGCAAATTATTGAATACTGCTGGACATGTATTGTTTGCTTGATAAGTTTAAAATGACATGTTCGACATGTAATGTTTGTRGTCAAATTATCTTTTTCAAGGTGCTCTGAATGCTGTGCTTATTCTATTAAAATGTAGTAAAGTAGTTTTTATAATAACAATCTAATACACACAGTACATATGGGGCCTCTATCTAATAAATATTTATTTTAAAATTGTTGATAAATCCTGCTTTTTTTTGTTTTTTAGAATGATGTATAATTTGTTTTTGTATTGTTTCAACTGCTGTTTTTGTGATTTTTTCATAGTGTAAAACCTGTTTGAAGAATAGACTTTCATGTAAGAAAGCCTCTCTTTCTTTCTCTTTAGGCATCCATTGGGAAACAATGTATTTTACTGAAAGTACACATCTTTGCTTATCGCCGCTTCTTTAAATCTGGTGCTCCTTATTTGGAAATTCTATTTTATGAGTCTCAGAAATTCTTTGTTTGTGTATACATGTGAGTTATGCTTTCTAAAAATATTTTTTCTTGTACTTTCTGAAATATGAGATGAACGTCAAAAAAATAAACTTAATGTGGTAATGAAGTCCCAATTAAAACTTTAAAAAATACGATGTACTTTTTTTAATCTTAATTTTTAAAGTTTTATTATCTCTGGTGGTACTATGAAACAATGGAAGTCTCAATTATTTGACATTTTTGCCGCAATGTCTATAATGTTTTGTATTAAGAAATTCAGATCACCATCATAAGCAGTAAAATATAATAGTCTGTTTGTCTTGTGGGTTATACATTATCCAATTCAGCGATCAGCTAGCCATACCAAGAATCCAGTATCTTGTCTATTTCATGGGTCATTTCACAGTATTTGGTTTGTTAAGGAGGGGAAAATGTGAGATTATGTTTTTTCAGAGGTACTAGTGTTGCGGAGGGGAACGTTTTGTCCATGTCTGACTAAATTCTTGGCAAAACCAGAGAGATTAACAGAACACAATGAGTTTGTGTTTGAAATGTATCATCGAAATTATTATTTTTCATTTTTTTGCCCCCAAAAAATCAAGTACTCATGACATTTTCAAGAAGTTAACAAATTTGGCCTAGCCCTTTTTTTGTCTCATACACTCCCTAAGCAAAACACTTGAAATATTCAATTTTTACAGCCAAAATTGAATATTTTGACTTGAAGTATTCCTTATTTTGTARTTTCATGTATTTGAAGCTGCTGCTTCTTAGTAGAAAAATGAAAAAATATGACGTGATAATTACATGCATGAAAAATATTAATGGTCAATGCTCACATGACTTTGCTATAAAAAATCAAATCAACTGAAGACAATTACTATTGGTATGTTTACTCACACGTTTTAGTTAAGGCTGTAATAAGGCTATAATAAATTTAACTGTATAACGGGAACATTTTAGAGCTTTTTTTCATAATTTTTTTAAAATTCAATTTAGAGGAATGCATTGGGCATTATTACATGTTTCTAGAACAGTTTTATCATAACAATAAAATCCTTTACTAATTAAAGAAAAGCATTCTCCACTAGGGAGAGACAAACTAACAGCAGAGTTACCGGTAGGATTCGAGTTTTGGGATTTGAGTTTTGGGATTTGAGTTTTGGGATTTGATTTAATAAGTAATAATTTAATAAGTAATAATAATTTAATAAGTAATAATAATTTAATAAGTATTTCATTTTTTTAATTAATTAAAAGTACACAAAGTTTAATTTTGAAATCATAACTATCATAAAAATCATAATAGCTATCATAAAAACTGTCAAAATGTAAGACTGCCGGAACCAGCAACGCTTGTTTATAATGAAAACATTTCAACAGATATCATCTGATAGACTTGAAAAAATGTTGCTGTTTGAAGTTCYATACGTGCATTTCTTTCGGAAAGATGAACAACTTCAAGCTCTAAGAGCGTCTAGTTATTAAAATAATTTCTTTCACAAAAGAATTAAAAATATTTAGTGTAGCATAAAGATTTTCCCAAGTATAGACATAATTGGCTAATATGTTGCTATGTACATTACCACCCAATTCAAATCCTTTGGGAAAAAGAACTTCTGTTAATTCAACTGTGAAATGAAAATACAACGAACAATGAAACTTACTCCCGGGTGGCTTGAATTGGGTGGAAACGTTTATATTAGGTCTATCGATAATTACCAAATGAAAGGTCACATGAACTGTTGTTATAAATATCACTAATTTTTTTTTCTGATCTCACTTCCAGAAATGCCCTCTATTCACAGCCTGTGTTGCCAAATTATGTTAGCTTTTATGGGTGGCTTAAAAGACACAGATGCAAAAAACGCAATGGTGTTTCTAATCAGTCAAATGATGCAATTATTAGGCAGAAATGAACTTGTGAAAATGACAGGATCTTCATCTCACGTCAGCAGGTATTCAACATCATATGAATTATTGATGGAACAAACAACATCTTCATCCAATGAAGGCACATCAAAAAAAGAATCAGATAAACCAGCATGTTGTACCCCAACTAGTAAACTTACTCCAGGGAGTACAAGTCCTGCTTCATCCACTGACAGTGGCGAATGCCAGGCACCTAAACTTTCCACTGCAGATGTTCTGGTATATTCTCAGCCATTGCTAGAACAGCCAATAATTACAAAGCTAGCAGTCTCATTGAAAAGTCACGTTAAGGCAACTGCAAATGGTATTTTGAAAGAGTTATTGTCCCGAATCCCCTATCAAACGGGTCATATCTTTGGATTGGAAATCAATCCTCGAATGGRAAAACTTTTTTCAGTTTATGAATATTCAGAACAGTTAGTCATTATTTATCATCATCATCCATTTGAGTTCACGTGTTTTGATGAGAAGACAGGAAAGTTGGCTTTCAACTTTGATTCATTTTGGAACATGGTTTTGGCAATAGGCCACGTACTTCATGAATAAGTGTAATTTCTACGCGTATACGTTGCTATTTTTTTATTTTTATACTTCTGGAATGTCAATTATTTACCAATAATTAATAGTGGTAATATTATTATTATCATTACATTACCGAAATCGTATATTCTTTGAGGTTTGTAGATCTACTTGAAACTGCGTAATCGGGGTTCTTTCTTGGTGTAACAATCCCCAATTTTCCTAGATGTATTTTCCTAATACTAATTGACTCAAATCACACATTTGAACTATATACCAAGGCTTAAGTCATAGACATTTAAGCCCTGGATCCATTTCCTAAGACTTACATAACTACATAATCATCAATACATACTCGACTCCAATCACACATTTTATCTCTACAATACCAAGACTTAAGTCCTAGAAACAGGAATCCTGATACACATATTGATC